CTTACATTTCTGTTGTTAATCTGTAAAATATGTGAAAAGAAGACATCTTTGTCATTTTCCTTTCACCAAACCCCAGATCAAGATCAGACCCTGAGGCCAATACTGTTACCTAAACTTTTTTTTGAACCCTATAGGTAACCCTGTTCTCAGACTTTCTCACAGGTGCACTGGGATCTGTTGTACTCAGTGTTAAGGAACACATGTGTAACTGCTCTGATAATTACTCAACACTCTCTTTCTTGCATGACCTTATGAACTGAGTGACCTAAGTATTTCTATCTTCTCATTACCCTTTGTGTTCAGCCCAAGAGGCATGTTGGTTTCAGCCATGAGTGAGGTGACTGAGTCTGTATTTTTTGTGTATATAAAAGAGTGTTGGAGCTGCCTGTTGTTGTATTGACCATCCAATCATCATAACATGAAAAGTTAATCCTTGTCATTCTTGCATCATAATTCACAGAACCAAGAGTCCTAGGACTCACAGCTCAAAGCTCTCAGAATCTTATGACCCTGTGTCACTCATAACCTCTTTACTCAGACCAGCAGTCCAACATTAGTTATGAGTCCCTCCTCAAGGCCTCAAAGGCTTCTGAGTGAGGTGGGACTCAGTTAAGTTAAATAACACTAGTCTAATTAAGTGTTGTGATACAAACATGCCAGCCAGTTATGGGTTTCAGACCTCAAATACAACTTTCAGGAGTTCAGTCCAGGAATCATGCTCAGGAATGTTTGCATCAAACCATTGCTCAAATAGGCTCATACAAGGCTCTTGCATATCTTAATATACTAATGCCTCAACTGCAATTTGAGAGGGAAGCATGTTTCCCTTTCCACTGAACCATCATTGATGTGCCAACACTGCAGGAGACAGATGAGTTTCCAATCAGTTTAAACAATTTTTAGTGACATCTAAAGATTTGGTAGAATTGTCTAAGTTTCAAGATTAAAAATGTGACACAAGTTTTTAGTGCAGTAACCTTTCCTACAGTGGCATAAGAAAAGGACAAGAATATCAAATCCTAATTCTTTACTTGCTCTAGCCCCTCCTGAGTGATTTTTCTTATACATGCATCCAATTCAATCAAAACAGGTTCTCTTTTATTTTGATTAAAGATACCCAGAGGTTATATCATGCAATGTAATATTTGTAGGTTTTGCTGTACATTTGAAGGGAGTTTTAGTGTCCCAAGATCTTAAATGGCCTGTTTTGAATAATTTAATTTGAATGTGGATCAGGTGCCAAAAAATCAATCTGTTAATTTTCACCCTTTGGGGGCTGTTTTTTGCTCTTCAAAGGTGTTGTTTGAGGATTTTGATTGCACTAATTATTGGGATATTTTTTTCATAAAAACATCCACATTTTACAGTTTTTGTTCACTGAATTTGCATGTAGATCATGTGTCAAAACTGTTTTTGCTGGTTTTACACTTTCAAGTTTCTTTTTTTTGCCTTGGAAAAAGGTTAGGATTTTTGTTGCAGAAACTATGGGGATGTATTTGGCATGACAATCTCAACCTTTTATCAGTCTTTAATCAATGCATTTGAATGCAGATCATGTGTCAAAAAACAATTTTGTCAATTTTGACACCATTAGGGCCTTTTTTGACCTCCAAAATGACTTGTAATCTGCAAGAAATTTAAGTGATCAAAGACTGGCAAACATACCCTTTTCTGGTGAAAAAATGCCTTGAAGGCTTGAAAATAGAAAAAACTCATGCCTTTGACACATGATCTGCACAAAACCTCATTCATAAAAGACTGGTTGCCAAAAACCTTGGCATTATCAAAAAGATCACTGTAATTGCTGCAACAAACTCTGCAAGTTTTACAATTCATTCAAAAACTTCCTGGTGTCTTCACTTGAAATCACATAAAATCCATTTTGATGGATTGCATGCCTGTATAAAGGAGTCACTCAGGATGAGCTGGGGAAAGCAAGGATTCAGGATTGGTCCTCTTGTGTCTTTTTCTGATTTCAGTGTAAAAGAGTTTGCAGCAGTAAAAAGTTGGGTGAAATTTGGAATCCTGAAGATTAGGAACTTCCATTCGGGGTCGGGATTGTGATCCTTAATTTCAAGTCCATGACGCTCATTACAGTATTTGATAACGGGCTGTTCTTGAACGCCCTCTTTTCATCTCAAAATTAGGCTTCAGAAGCTGAACGAAAGGCCTACAAATGCTGTACTCACTGCATGACACCTGCATGACCTTCCACCAGCCCCCGGGCTAAAGCGAATTCAGCGTCAGGGTTTCACAAAACCGAAGCGATTTGTCCATCACCCTATCATTTATTGAAACGAGGTAATGAACCAGGGAATAAACCATACATTTCAATTTTCTTTTCTTCTTTTTCAAAAAACTACAACTCCTCAAGACTGAACTTTTTTCCGT